ATTTCAGCTATGAGAGTCAGGTGTGACAGTTTGTGCCTATAATCTCAGCTACTGGGGAGACTGAGGCAGGATAATTGCTTGAGGCCAGGAGTCCAAGATCAGCCTGGGCAACACAGTCTCTTAAATCATGTCTCTTAAAATATTTTTTTTTTAATTAGCCAAGCATGGTGGGAAATGCCTGTAGTCCTAGATACTCAGGAGGCTGAGATGCAATTATTACTTCATTTACAGATGTAATAATAGTTGCATCTGCCAGGGTAAATTGAGAATTACATAAATAAATAAGGTAACACATATAAAGTCTTTAACCGCTCAACACAATGCCTGGTATGCACTACACATTCAAAAATGGTTGATGTTGTTTTACTAGGTTCCAGCCTCTGTGCTAAGTACTCTGTATGCATTAACTCATTTAATTCTCCAAATAACCCTATGAGGGAGGTACTCTTACTATTCCCACTCTATGAATGAGGAAACTAAAACTCAGAGAAGTGAAGTGACTTACCCAAGGTCACACAGCTGGGGCACTGGCAGAGGCAGAATTGTGAAAGCTCCAGGGGTAAACCACCTGTATTTGATCTGACCTGAGGCCTGTGGCAGGCAGCCTCCAAGAGGTCCCCCACTTCCTACTTGCTGGTGTCCAGCTCTTATATACTGCCCGCCTCAGTGAAGAGGGTTGCTCTGTGATACTAATAGGATACTGTGCAAATGAGAGTATGTGACTTCTAAGCCATGTTACAAAAATCATTGCTGGCGTCTGTCTTATTCTCTTGGATCACTCATTCTGCCATGCCACGAGGACACTCAGTGGCTCTATGAACAGTTAGTTCCACATGGCAAGGAACAGAGGACTCCTGCCGACAGCCAGGAATTGTGCATGAACCACCTTGGAACCAGACTTCCCCTCCCCAGTCAAGCCTGCAGATGACTATAGTCCCAGCCAACATCTTGAATACAACTTCCTGAGAGACCTTGAGCCAGGATCACCCAGTTAAGCCACTCTTGGATTCTTCACCCACAGAGACTGTGAGAGATAAATCCTTATTATTAAGCTGCTAAGTATGGGGGTAATCTGTTACATAGCAATAGAGGACTAACACAGTAATCATGGAGCAAATTATAGTACTTAACATGTCTGTTTTAGCTTCCTCATATATAATAACTGGGAGACAAAGACAGTAACAGCAGGTACATCATAGGATTGTGATGAGGATTAAATAAGACCCTACATCTAAGGTGCCTAATCTATAGCCTGCACACAGTAAATACTCAGGAAAATGTGAACAGCCCAGACTACCTAACAACAGTCCATATCAGCACCCACCCCTTTTCAAACCTGTGCACCGCAGGCCACTGGGCATTCAGGTCTTAGGTCAGAGGGCTAGGGAGTCAAGCAAGGACATGCAGGCAAGGGTCTGCATGGGCAAGGGTGCTGCCCACCACTCCATCACTGGAAGCTGCCCTCCAGGCAAGCACTAGACACTCAAGGACTTCCATGGCTGAGAGGGCTTTAGAAGTCTTTATGTTTAAATCTCCCCAACTCCTCCATCAATGCAAGTCTCCTTGACCACAGCCTCTGTGCATGCTAATCTCACTACCTGGAATGACTTCCAGGACCATCCCTAACAGCATCCAAAAGCATCCAGGTCTCACCATAACTCCTTACAGCCAGCTCAAAGCCTTTCCTATCTCCAAGGACAAGAATCATGTCCCTCAGGAACCTTCTTTTTTTGAGTTAACTACCCCCAGGCTCCTCATTAATAAGCACAGAGTTGGAAAACAGCATGATGGGAAAGCAGAAACCTGAGCCAGGCTGGAAAAACAACCAGCTAGAAAGTGGCTGATGCCTTCCAGGACAACCCCAGAAGTCCATGTCACCATATCTAACTCCAGTCAGCAACAATTCTCCAGTTGTAAAGGATCTGAACAGCCTAGGAAGGACTCATAAACTATATTACTTACACAACAGAGACCCAGTAAGATGGCTGTTTCCACATCAAAAGAGGTAAGAGCCCACTGTGTAGTGCAGGAATCAGGCTACACCTACATACAACAGGGGCTGAGAGCCTGAGCTCTAGGTTCAGGGCTCAGACAGGCCTGATTCAAGTCCTGGCTACAGGGTCCATGGTTAATATTCTTCTTATCTCTGTGGGCTTAATTAAGGGTAATGGTAGTAACTAGGTAAGAAAATATCTAAAATTGCTACTAGTCTTACAATCACTACATCCCTGGTTCTCATCCAACTGGGAACCCACTAGGGTGCCCAGTCGAAAGCAGATTCCTGAGTCCCACTCTAAACCTAAGCATTTAGAATCTCTAAGGATGAAGCTTAGGCATTTGTAATTTTTTTAAAATAATTACCAAGTGGATTCTGATACACAGCTGGGGTTGAAAGTAACACTGGTTCACAAGTTTCCTGATTTCCTTGGAGCCCAGGTCACTCACAGCACCCATCTTACTCTCAGATGCTGGCCTCTGATTACTTATAATTATACTTTATTCATGCCCTTCCAACCCTGGGGTGGTCCAGCCACAACATGGCAAGCATCCTCAAGAGGAAAATTTTCAGTTTTTAGCCTGCTAACAATAATAACATCAGCAAAAAAGCTGGGGCAGCTCCCAGGGTCCTTCCTTTGACCACAGTTTTGACAATGAGAAACACTCTTCCATTTTTAGCTAACATGTTATAGACCCAAAATGTTCAAGTTTGGGGTTTCTCCAGATACCTCAAAGCAGCTAGTTCTGAATCCTCACTCTGCCTCAGAACTACCTGGGAAACTTTTAGAAAACAGGGCTGATTAGGTGTCAGACCCCCACCAAGAGATTCAGGTTCAGATTTAATGGTCTGTGGGGTAGTGGTGGGGGAGGGGGCTCTGGGTACCACCATGTTTCCAAGACTGTCCAGGTGATTCTGATGTGCAGTCATGATTAAGAACCACTGCTACAAGCTACAGTCTTTAAAATAAAACATTTCCACTTTAATGTCTTGTCACAACTTGAACTAAGATATGTGTTGATGAAGTACCTTCCAAACTGCAGTGCCCTGGGGAAAAGTCTTGGTCTGGCCTTAGCTATGCTTCTGAAGAGGAAGGAGCCCCCAACCTGCTTCCATCCTTCCAGCAGCCTGGGCAGTGATCCCAGTCTCCTGGGCACATGCAGGTTCAGGGCTCATGGCAGGTGGGCTGCCCTCCTTGATGTTTGAATGAAGAATAAAGCCCTAAATGTCTAAACCGCTCCAGATCAGAGCTAAGAAGAGAACATAATCAGAAATAGCCTCAGCTGAACTAAGGCAACCATCACACACCTATTCCACCAAAAGGCTCCAAGAGGTAGTGATTTAGTGATTTGATGTTGTTTTTAACTAGAAAGAATGGATCATACCACATTATAACAAAACAGAAAAAGAATGGAAGTTAGCCAATTAAGAAAAAAGCAAACAAAGCAGTGCTCCCCAACCCTAATGAACATAACACACACAGACACAAGCATGCACATAGACACACACACACACACACACACACACAAAATGCAGTAATACAAATAACTGCCACGTCTTCACATACATGCTGAACAAAACTAGTGGCACTAGTTTTCTCCTAATTTTTAGTAGACTAGGTGCTAGCTCTCAGAAGGCTTGAACACTCTGACTTTGTGTTAAGATATGCTCTTTTTCAAAGCCTTAACAGTCACAGTTCTGTAAGAAGAAAGACATTAAGAGTATTCTGGAATTCACCATAGCTGCAGCACTTTTTGACCTATCTCCCCAACCACACTCCACTCCTCTGAGGTCTGAACCTCACTCACAAGGCTGGGTCCCTAAGTGTTTGCCCATGTTGACCGCATACTCTTGGCCTTAGGTGACTGGATCAGCACTAGACACATGACTATACTGACCAGGACTGAAATCTGCTAGTCTTAGTCTGGGATAGTGACTTAAATGGAGATCATGTAAACGTGGGCCCTTTGGAAAGGCCAAATCAGGTCAAATCAGACAAGAAAGCAGGAGACAGAAGGAGAGGGAGAAGCAGAGCAGGAAGCAGGGACTGCTTGTGTCCTGGTAGCTCTCTAGGCTACCTGAACTCACCCCCATGAATTCTGTAAAGAGTCCCTTTATCCTTGTAATAAATTCCTCTTCAGTCTATTCAGCTGCCTTTGTTCTGAAGCAGTCTCTCGCTCTTTTGCCCAGGCTAGAGTGCAACAGCTCAATCGTGGCTCACTGCAACCTCCACCTCCCAGGTTCAAGCAATTCTCCTGCCTCCCTATTCAGTTACTTTGAAATGCATTTTGTTAACCTGATCTCGCGCACGCGCGCGCACACACACACACACACACCCCTGGGTAATAATCAAAACCTTGTTATCAATTGCCAAACATTTCCAGGAATTCTTTTTAAGATCAAAATCAACTTCTTATTCTTTATTGACTATACTGTTTCTAAACATGTACATATGCTTTTTTTTTTAAAACTCACTATGTTGCTCAGGCTGGTCTCAAACCCCTGGCCTCAAGCAATCCTCCCACCTAAGCCTCCCAAAGTGCTGGGATTACAGGCGGGAGCCACCACACCTGACCAATGTAAATATGTACAATTACATTGTATATTATGTATATGCTGTTAATGTAAATATGTATATTTTTGCTATGGCAAATGGTTCCGAAAACAGAAACAAGGCAACCACAAGAATTTGGGATCAAAAAACAGAAAACTTTCTAGAAAAATGTTCCCTCACATCATTTCTTGAAAGTGAACATTTTCAGCAGGAGCAGCCTGGGAAAAGGAATGAGGGTTTTAAGACCTGACTCTCAGGCATGGAGGCCTGTGGATATCAACTGCTTCCAGCCCTGCCAGAGTAGGCCAAACAGAAGACAGTCTCTGGAAAATCCAAATACTGGGCTCAAAAAAATGAGCACCATCAAGAATAGAATGGGGTTTAAATTGATAACATGCATTGCTGCCCACCCACAGCATTAATAGAAGAGTAGGAAAACAAAGTACAGACCTCCGGCTGGATAGCTTTAAACACAGGTATATCCATTAATGTAATCTGGCTCTGCAACAAAAGAGAATCAATGTTAGAAAATACTATACATCATCAAAGATAACTGTCATGTTACTTTATACAGTAATACATATTCATAAAAGTTATTATTTGGGATAAAAAACAAGATCGAATAGAGCAAAAAATTGGATACATTTCTGAACTGCCTCTCCCATCCCTTCCCTCTTCATAAATCTTGATCCACACCCTTCTTTCTTGAATGTGAGATGAACTTTCAATTTAGGAATTGATAAAAGTTGGAGGGTGGGCCTGGGACTAAAAGGAACAGTTTTATTTGGCAATTCTTGTACTATTGAATTTTTATTTCAAGCATGAACTACTTTTATAATTTTTTAAAGTTGTAGAAACAATATTTAAAATTAGAATGTTAAACAGAAACACTACTTATTACTATAAATTAAGTTACTTTTAAAGTTGTGGCTTATAGAAATTATATTTTTCTTTTGAAGTCATTTATACTGCCCCAAAATTATATGGTAGAGTGCTATTCAAGAGGCACCCAGAGACCAGTGAGGGACCACAAACTGTTTATTCCACCAGCCCACAATGAGAGAAGTACAGAAGCTGAGAGCAAGCATTTGGAACTTTTTGTGACATGACGATGACATTTCTATTATATATATATAAATATATACACACACACACACACACACACATACACATATATATACACATATATATATTTTTTAAGTAACAGTACTCAAATTATTGAAAATGGAAAAATCTAGTCTTTCACCACAGCCAGCTTAAGGGGCAGTAATGTGATCAGCAGAGAAAACACACATCAGGTTAAAACGCTCACCCATCATAAGAATGTCATCTGGTCAGGCACGGTGGCTCAAGCCTGTAATCCCAGCACTTTGGGAGGCTGAGGCGGGTGGATCACGAGGTCAAGAGATCGAGACCATCCTGGTCAACATGGTGAAACCCCGTCTCTACTAAAAATACAAAAAGTTAGCTGGGCATGGTGGCGCGTGCCTGTAATCCCAGCTACTCAGGAGGCTGAGGCAGGAGAACTGCCTGAACCCAGGAGGTGGAGGTTGCAGTGAGCCGAGATCGCACCACTGCACTCCAACCTGGGTAACAAGAGCAAAACTCCGTCTCAAGAAAAAAAAAAAAAAAAAAAGAATGTCATCTGAGCCAGGTGTGGTGGCTCACACCTGTAATCCCAACATTCTGGGAGACCGAGGTGGGCAGATCACAAGGTCAGGAGTTCGAGACCAGCCTGACCAATATGGTGAAACCCCGTCTCTACTAAAAATACAAAAATTAGCAGGGTGTGGTGGTACATGCCTACAATCCCAACTACTCAGAAGGCTGAGGCAGGAGAATCACTTGAACCCGGGAAGCGGGGGTTGCAGTGAGCCAAGATAGTGCCATTGCACTTCAACCTGGGCAACAGAGCAAGACTCTGTCTCAAAAATTAAAAAATAAAAAAACTTCATCTGGTGACAGTAAGAGGAAGCATCATGCTGACCATTTTTCAGACCAAGGCATGAAATGAACTGACTTGACATGATCCACCTACTTCCTGTCACATGTCAGATGTCAGTTAAGAGATTCCTCTGTGACACATCAGGGAAAAGAGCGCTGAAGGCCTTTGGATGCCTTTAATGTGAGAAGATACCCTGTCGACTGAACACAGGCTATCCAGGATGACATGACACAGGGAACAAATGGGCTCTGGAATCTACAGGGCTTGGGTGTGTGTCTGGACGCTGTCACTTCATGGCAATGTTCTCTTTGACACACAACCTCTCTCAGTCAGGTACCACATCTAGAAAATTATGACAATAATCCCTGTCTTATAGGATCTTGGTGAAAATTCAAGAAAAGAGGTGGAGTTCCTGGCACCTGACAGATGCTCAATAAATACATGAGAGTGTATGTATGTGTATGTATCTAAGTGTGTGTGTGTGTGTTTGTGTGTGAGACTGTGTAACAGTGTCAGTGTAAGTGTGTAAATGTGTGTATTTGAGGGTATGTGAAGGTGTGTGCATGTGTGTGGAAGTTTGAGAGTATGTGTGTCTGTGTGTCAGTCAAAACGGAAGCCACACAAATGGGTTCATGTACTGGCATGTGAACTTATGGTTCCTGACCAGTACATAAGCTAGGAAATAAGGGACCACTAATTTAGTTGAATATCCATGCACTGAGGTTGCTCTAGAGAACATGTTTAAAAGGCTGCTACATTGAGCCAATAAAAACCCTTGTATTAAGACATATTGGAGAAAAATGGCAATACACAGAGTGTGCCACCTGTGACTACAATCCAGGGCTAGATGAAGTGTGGTCAGCTCTTGGCACAATTCAAAGCTGGTCCAAGGTCACTGGGTTTCTGAGGAGCATGGAATACAAGCCAAAGCATACCATCCTCAGGCGGAGTGGAGAGTAAAATGTGCAGCTGGCTTCAGTGCCTCTCTGTCCTCTCCCAGGAGCTAGTGTTCCTCACGCAAACAGGGGTGAAATGCTGCCACTAATGGAAGCCTGGCTGAGAGATGGTAGAGAGCATGAGGAATAAGGAAGCACTGGAGCAGAATCTGAGCTCTTCTGCCTCTGGGTTCCACCCAACACCCCTTGACGTCAAGGGGACTCTTGACGTCAGCATAACGTAACTGGCCCCCATAATCTGGGTGTTGAGTTAGTAAGCCCTGAAGGTCTATAGGTCTGTTTGGCCTAGAGCTACAGGGCTCAGAGCTATGTCCTGGGCAGTGCAAACAGACTGGCATTTCTTCTGCCAGACCCATCAAGATTGTTAGCCAAGTGCTTCTCATATTTGGATTAAGTCTGCCATCCTGGGGAACAGAAAGGCCTTGTAAAGACAGGAGATTTGAACTGAAAGCTCAGAGGGCCTTGGAAATCTCCCCTGCAGTTCAAGTTAACACCCTAACTGTAAGAACCGGCAGGATGTTTGCAATGTCATTTAGGAAAAGAACCAAAAGTCTGCTAATGTGAAAATGAGAAAACTTCCTTTCCATCCTGCCATCAGTTCTAGGGTTTGCTACTGAATTTCCAGATGATTTATTAAAGCAGTGACCTTACATTTCATATTTTTGGATGGTCCAAGTTTCAAATATTCTGCTTTCTGCTCAGACTATAAGTCAGAAAATGTGTTCAGACATTTTATTCAAAACAAACAATAGAGGTCACCAGACTTAGACTAGCTAGTGCGAAATACATGAGGTTTCAGAAGACTCTCTCCTATTTCTATCCTTTCAACTCTGACCAAAGAAGATACAGTGTCTAGAGCAGGGGTAGTTTGATACAAGATACTTATATAGATCATCAGATTATCAATTTCATGCCATTTTACTACAAAGTCAAACACATGTTAAAGAGGTTGCTGATGAGTAATCCTTCCCTGGAAGTTCGAACCCTCAAGAGTACTCAGTTTTACTAAAAAGGTGGGTGGGGAGTATGGGTATGAGGGAGTGGTAAGAGGTGAGGTCAGGTCCTGTCACACTTCATAGCCAGCTCTTGGGACCACCCTCAGGAGAGGTACCCTGGTTTCTTGGAGAGAAAGGCATTTTCTAGGGATATGTTACAACCTCAACAGAAACATGAGACAAGGAGCCTCCCACTCTTGTTTCCAAGCAGCAAATCTGGCCAGTAGTGGGGCTGAAGAACACACATGAATAAGTCTCTTAATGGACTATCCTCATTTTGAGAAATAAAGCCCTAACATAGGATGTCCAGTCACGCTAGTCACCTGGCAATGGCTTCCTTAATCCTAGTCCCTTCTCCCATCTCCTCCTTCCTCCTAGTCCAGGGCCTTCTAAAAATCCAGGCTGTTAAGGGAATTGCCTGATCTCCAAACATTTCTGCAGAGATGAATACCCCAGGGTGGAGGGATCTACTGGAGCACTTCACAGTGTGGCTCTAACACAACAGTGTTATTATGTGGATAAATGAAAGCTACTTGGTTAGCCAAAAAGGAAAAAAAAATTTTTTTTTGCATGTAGTATTTCTCCTAACAGTGGCTGACTAAATCCTCTCTTCCAAGCCATACTTAGCCTTAGTGCAAGGATCTTCCAGACCCCAAATAAACAAACAAAAAATGTTGTTGGCTTTACCTGATTCCACCAAAGCAGGCCAAGAGTGTTCACAGAACAAAGAGTAATCAGCTCCAAAGAGCTCTCCTGCTTTGACTCATAGAACCACAGAAAGCCCGATCTGGCAATTTAGAACTGAGTCAGGGGATGGGCCTATGAACTGTTCTGTTCATTAATCTAGCAGTAACTTATTTAAAGCTTTTTTAACTTTTTTTTTTTTTTTTTTTTAGACGGAGTTTCACTCATGTTACCCAGGCTGGAGTGCAATGGCGCGATCTCGGCTCACAGCAACCTCCGTCTCCTGGGTTCAGGCAATTCTCCTGCCTGAGCCACCTGAGTAGCTGGGATTACAGGTGTGAGCCACCATGCCCAGCTAATTTTTTGTATTTTTAGTAGAGACGGGGTTTCACCATGTTGACCAGGATGTTCTTGATCTGTTAACCTTGTGATCCACCCGCCTCGGCCTCCCAAAGTGCTGGGATTACAGGCGTGAGCCACCACGCCCAGCCAACTTTTTTATTTAAAGAAAATGTCAAACCAGGCTGGCTCAGTGGTTCATCCCTGTAATCCCAGCACTTTGGGAGGCCAAGGCAGGCAGATCACTTGAGGTCAGGAGTTCAAGACCAGCCCATCAACATGGTGAAATCTTGTCTCTAATATATAAAAATTAGCCACGTTTGGTGGTGCATACCTGTAATCCCAGCTACTCAGGAGGCTGAGGCAGGAGAATAGCTTGAACCTGGGAGGCAGAGATTGCAGTGAGCTGAAATTGTGCCACTGCACTCCAGCCTGGGAGTGAGTGAGATTCTGTCTCAAAAAAAAAAAAAAAAAAAAGTCAAATCTACAAAAAAAAGTCACAAAGACAAATACTATATGTCTCCATTTACATGAGGTAACTAGAAGAGTAAAAATCATGGGGACAGAAAGTAGAATGGCAGT